AGATGAAATGTTATTCTCAAATTATATTATTTTGGATCCATACATTTCTTTGTAAAATTTACAAACATGTTTTTATGCATTTATGCGAAGTACCGCTGCGATTGCGGGCTCAAATGTCCGGATTTTCTGACCATGAGTGATCCTAAATTTCATTATTGATCCCATCTGATCCCTTGATAGATATTTGTATATCTTTGATCCTGATCCCTGATCCCTGATGTATGACTTTATCATGCAGATCGTGGTGAAAATGAATATTAAAGCTCAAAGGGCAAACGGCTAACAAATTTTTTTCAAAACCGCATATTTTTCATGCATTCAGGCCTAACTTTGACACGAGAGTACAAAAATGATGACAGTATATATACCCGGTTATTTTTGAAAACAAACGAACTAAACTTAACAAACAAACATCAAAAGTCACAAACGCAAATAAGAATTTGCGGAGTCGAAATAAAAATTATCCTGATACGCTGCCCTATGATGGTCCCGTTAAATGTAGCTATATTTTAAACATCATACCAGTATTCCTTGGATAATATGAATGATGACGAAATTATAATGTTCGCTATTTCATAAAAGACTGTTAGATAGAATGTCGGCCGACTAGCCTCGTCCCCTGGCTATACTCTGAAAATAAAACTGTATGACGTCATGTTGAAAAAATATGAGAGTAGCCTGGGGACGAMACTCCCAAAGATATTCCTGGTTTTCAGGTTACGTTACAGCAGCCATCTTAGAGGAGCTTTAACAAAGGATTTCTCATTAGTAACTATCGTTCATTCCTCCAATATGGCCGACGCTYTTTTGTTGTTGAATCTCATAGACCTTTTTTGAAATACGAAATCATGGTGCATTGTGGTCTAGCTTCAGTCCAAGCAACGCCATATTTCKCTGCATAACCAAAAAGATGTTTGTACCGAATCTAGACCACAATGCAATGCAAACTGCAGAAAAGGCCTATGGAAATGATGGAAAACCAGCAATGAGTTACGTTTTCATAGATGGAATATGAATATAATTTCCCAAAGGCACTAGTTATTTAATTTTGATGATGATAAATATGAACTGTGCAAATCTAACAATGCTAATTAAGAAGCAAAAAAGTTCCATTCGGTCGTGCAGCCTTCACTTATGATGATTTCCACACGAAATTCTGTGATATGTCGTAATGGTCACATCATGAAGAACGCTTTAACATAACTAGCTTATAAACTTTTGAATTATAAGCTGAAATTAACTTTAGCCAGATTTAGATGATAAGCTTGTCTCATTTGTCGCAACATCTTCTATCCAGCAACGCCTTTTTTGTCTTTCCATTGTGAGCAATTGCCATAGTCTTTGGTACAACTGATCAGCAAATAATGACTTCCTTAATTCTTTCCGAAATTTKACATCCGTATAACCTTTGATGCGTTTCTTTGTRCTGATTCATTTTGGGAAAGGAAGGAGACAGGCGCCATTGCGACATATCAGACATCAAGTCAGATTTAAGTAGTGCTACACTGACTGTTATCATAATCCAGAGAAAACCTGGGCGCTCGCAAGAARATGGCAAACAATGTCACGGTTCCTATGACAACTGATATAATGAGGAATAGTCTATCGAGAACACGTGCTGCTCGCATCCATTCGTTTTGGTTTCGCKCTTGCTCGGGTGAGATATATYGAGTTTKAGTATCTTCGTGGYTGCTTAGTCCTCCAAATCCAACACCTGAGACAAAATAACTTGTTTTCCGCTTCCTGGGTGATTGCCGATTCGTGCCATTTCTGTTGGATTTGTGCCGCCGAGATTTACGTAAAATTCCTCTCCGAGTTKTGTGTGGTGTATTACTTGAGTTGTGATTATTAGARTATGAATCATCAACAGTTGAATTTGTCGGTCGCATTTCGAACTGACTTCCAGTGAAATCCCTAACTCCACCCCAGCTTAAGTTYCTGTTGCTTGACACGTAGTCGTTGCTGTCGATAAGGTTTTCAACGCGTGAGTAAGAATCACTCTCCTCTKGTGATTCCTGATTWGCATCTGAGTGATTTTTATTGGCATACCCACCGCACTCGGCTTCGTAACGCCTTGAYTTACTGAAAGGAAAAGCAACTCGCGAAAGCCAAACCAGAATAATCTTCCGCAAGCAATGCGGCATTCTGCGTGTGCTTCGRTGATAGAAATTCAAAATGAAAGTAGTTACAGCCAATGAAGCTCCGATTTCCATCATTGTTGCAAAGTAGTACTGTCCCAAAAGAGGGAACCCATACGAAGGCATTAGCTCTGAAGTAAGCTGCTGGAAGACGGTCATTGCGAGAAGKACAGTGATACTGAGACCGATCCGCTCTCCGGACTCAGGGGGAAGAACAAACCCCAGRAATATCATAGACGATATAAGAGAACAAGGAATGATGAGCTTAGTGATGTAATCYAACGAGACTCTTGAGATATCAATGGTTACCGTCACATCTACAAAGTCGTGCACACAGCATTTGTAGGTTTTCCTGTTACGCTGTGCGTGTATGCGTCTAATACACCATTCACCATTCTTGATGTAATTGTTGTTCATRACRTTTTTRTCTTGTGGATGCAAATCGATYTTTGAGATGTCAAAAGACCAYGAGCCGAATTTGAGCGTACACTGTTGGTCGTCAAAAGGAAAGAATGTCACATCGACGCTACAAATGCTCTTGTAAATGGCAGGATTCAGCCAAGTACAACGACCATCGTATCTCAGGGCAACGTTKGCTTTGTASGTGTATCGTCCTCCGCCATACCGGTCTTCTTCATCTATGCTATAGTGAAAGAAAAATAATAGAATAAGGTTTTATGCTAATCAAAATAACCATCCATCAATCAATTCATTCACCAACAATGAGACTCCGTCCTTGTGATCGGAATCAGGGCAATTATTTCTCCCATTTCAGCCTTCTAAAGCCCACGCGCACGATTCCTTCTTTATCTGCTAGTTCATTTGCATATTTCTTCTATTTTGGGGGGAAATTACGTCATTTTCTTACGATTAGTAGTAGGACTTTGATCCTTGTCTTAAAATTGTACCACAACTGGCAACTTGGTATTTACACATCACGACTTGGAGCTCTTTTGACTTTACTACATTTCGTACGCGACAATCGCATTTTGTAAACTCCCTTTTATATATGTATATAAATGTCTTACTTGCTATAGAGAAGTATGTCTGGTACCCATATGGCATTGGGATCCACGTGTATTTCKTCTATCCCACCATACTTAGCGGGATCCCAAGTTAATAGCTCATTGGTCCAGTACTGAAAAGATTTAAATCGACAGTATGGTGTGGTTGTAAAATGTTAAAATATGTACAGATTTTTAAGTACTAACACAATACACAATACACATACTAAAATGAGGAACATAGAAACAAGCGCAATTAAATTTAATAGTCACGAGTGCTAGAGTCACTAAAAGTCTAAATAGTGCTAAATAGYTTATAATAAAATTATATATACTGTATATTCTTTTTCTTCCTATTTATGTACATATTTATATTTTATTATGCTTTTATTTATTTACCTATTTGTTTTATCTATTCATTTATATGTATATAGTTTAAATTTCATTTTAGAGTTGATGTGATATCGTAAAACATTTCCGACTTAATAAATGTAGATGTAGGATAGTCAGTAACATATGACTTTTTACTCGTACCCAGGTCCCCCGTTCACTGAACAACCAGGTGTTTCGAAWAAAACTGTATTCAGACAATCATAGAAGGAAATGTAAGGAAACTACTTAGTTTTCACTTGGGAGATTAATTTACTGAAGTGTGTGAAAGATTATAATGAGAAATAATCACTTTGACTTATCTACGAAATCTTAATGCTCTATGTTGGACACTGTACGTTTGGAGCATGCGCACTAGTACCACCTGTCGATTAGCTGATGTCATACCTGATTAACCCACGCATAGGTCTTGATATACTGATTTCTTGCACTCTAAACAACACAAGAACGAATATGTATTCATTATAATTTACCACAGTTAGTATTTATTGATAGACCTACAACGACATGCACACTAAGCCTTCTAAATATTGACTTTTTTCCCGATGAATGGGAGCATTGTGCTGTGTATTTAGTGAAGAAAAAAAAATAATTTAAATCTTTTGATCTAAAAGCATTTGAAAATTGTAAATGAAATGACGTAAACTATAGGAATAATAGCTAGAGGTGAGTCGCAGGGTGCCGTTTTCAAAGGCAAAAAAAAAACACACCACTGAAAACAGCACATCATTTACCTTATCAGATAAGGAAATTAGTTTTCTCATTTCTCCGTGATTCTTTTGCGTTTAAAACATTATATTTC